GACCATTACTGAGTGTGTTGGACCCTCCTAGATACAGAGGCAGAGCGGGACAAAGACAGGCCCCAGGCCCGGGAGACAGGTGGTAAGCAGAGGGGCCCTCGATAAAGGCCAAGGTGGAGGCCAAGCTGAGGGCGTGAAGAAACAAGCAGGGAGGGGTCAAGCGGCATGTGGAGGTGGCCCTGTGGCAGGAGGGACACAGGTGGCCCAGGCTGTCCCAGGCCATCCAATCTCCAACGGGACTCAGGTTCTACTCCAGACCAGGCGGAAGGAAGCAAACAGCCAGCAATAAATGGAAAACATTCCATGGCAAGCCATTTATTTATTTATGTTTATTTTTTTTGAGACGGAGTCTTGCTCTGTTGCCCAGGCTAGAGAGCAGTGGTGCAATCTTGGCTCACTGCAACCTCCGCCTCCCGGGTTCAAGCAATTCTCAGGCCTCCGCCTCCAGAGTAGCTGGGATTACAGGCACCTGTCACCACAGCCGGCTAATTTTTGTATTTTTAGTAGAGATGGGTTTCACCATTTTGGTCTGGTTGGTCTTGAACTCCTGACCTCAGGTGGCCTGCCTGCCTCAGCCACCCAAAGTGCTGGGATTACAGGCATTAGCCACCGCACCCGGCCCTGTGACAAGCCTTTTGCATGCTTACTGTAGAGACAAGAAATGGGAATCTGGCTCCGTTTCGTAAAAGACGGATGATTTTTCTAAACTATACACAAGGACGACCTGTTGACCTGAGAGACAGGACTTTAAGCCGTGTTTTTGTACCTCATTGGAAACTTCACAAAGGTAGTAGCTGAACCTGAAAGCCAGGCACAACCTACAAAACAGAGCGACGTCCTTTGGAGGAACGGCTGCGCAGAAGGGGTCAGCACTCGGCCCTGGAGCCGGCTGCAGAGGGCTCAAACACTTCACGCGCTGGCGGGGAATGTTCATGGCTCCACGCGTTCATTCCACCCCTTCCCTCTGTGTGCTTTTCTGCTGTTTGCTTCTGAGACGTGAACATGTAAAAAGCCTGACACGTCAAAGCCGAGGCCTAACTAGTTGCTGTGAACACAGCTGGACACGCCAAATAAAATGGAGGATCTGAGCCTCCTCCCAGGGGGGCCAGGGCTGCGGCTAGGCCATGCCAGGCCGGAGGACACCGGAAGGGGAGAAAACCAGGAGCACAGGCGGGGGCGGGGGGCTGGAGGCCACTGAGCGGAGGCCCCAAACACAGGAGGGAAGGAGGCAGGGACAGAGGCTGAGGGCTGGAGTGGCTGACTGGGTCTTCTGTGGGAGGCAGCAGGGACCCCCTCTCCCTACTTAAAAACAAGAAAAAAATCTTCCTCTAATGTTAAGCACATGCTCTGTACAAACCAAGGGGGAAAATAAAAAGCGCTCCTGACCGTCAGTTGCAAGTCTTCCTAGCGTGCAGGAATACAACTGACAAATATTTATTTTTTTCTTCTTATTCTTTCAAATCTTATCCACACCAGGACCCACAGACAAATTCCTTCAACATCCCTATTTCCTGGCTGTGAAATGGAATCTGGGTTTGTGAAGACCCAGAAACCTGCAGTTTTCCACCAGAAAGTTTACTGCAGTCAGCAGGAAGGGACGGCCCCGCGCAGGTGTCTTTGAAAACGCTGGACGTCTATACAGCCCAGTCCTAGGACAAAAGTAGCCCGAGGAGGTGTGCAGGCCGCTCTGATATTCACCTTCATAGATCTTTCCTCGAGGGGTCCTGCGGTGACCACTCGGGGACAGTGAGGGGGGGAGACAAGTCACAGAGTGGCGTCCCCGAAAGGTGGTTTCACTGGGAGGTGGATGTGGCAATGGGGGGAGCTTGCTACTGCAGGAAAGCGCCCTTGTGAACGGGAGCACCCGTGAGAGCCGAGGCTGTTCCCTGGGGACACCCTCCCATCCTCTAGGCAGTACTTCCCAGCGTCGGTGCGATGACGCTCTGGGTTAAGTGTCCGAGGATGTGTCATCTGAGCGGACATGAGCTGGAGGCCGGTGGCCACAGTAGGTGTTGTGCGCAAGGAGAACCACGCAGGGCCAGCGTCCCCCACAGAGAAGCAGACGGAGCCGTTTTCAGGCAGGAAGCCCCGGTGGGTGTGGGGCCTGATGGCCGCATTCTCCTCCCTGTCCCGTCTCCTGGTGGGTGTGGGGTCTGGTGGTCCCTTTCTCCTCCCTGTCCCGTCTCTGTCTTGTAGCCACGTCACTGAATCCCAGGGGGATTTCACCTCCATGTTGTGTCCCACAGAGTCACACCTTTCCCCAGGGTCACATCACAGCCTGTCATTGTCTACATGTTACTATAAAAAGACATCAGGTTTTGCATGCCTTTGCTGGGGCAACAGCTTGGCCTGACCCATGGTGCTCCCCACCCTGCTGGCTCTCCAATGCTTGGCAGAGTTGTGGGGGGACCCTGGAAAAGGGAAAAGGGGAGGTCTGACCTGGCCTCTGCCCTCAAGGTTCCTACAGGCTTGCCAGGAAACATGCCTGAGGAATGTCTCATACATGTATGGGGAGAGGTCTCGGGGCAGGGACGTCCAGGAGTGGGTGGCCAGCTGTGGACCTGGAGAACAACAGGGCCAGAGGGTCTGAAATGACACCATGGCATGGAGCTCTGACAGAGGCAATCAGACCAACCAGCTGGTTCCAAACAAACAAACAAACAAACAAAAAAACAAGCGAAAAACATCCAGGGGGAGGAAGAGAGGAGGAACCTACAGGCTGCATGAGATGAAGAGGCTAATCACTCAGCTGCCACGTGGCCTCTTCTCTGGATCCTGATTTAAATAAAAGCCAAAAAGAGACAGTGACCCTCAGGGAAATGTGACCCTGACCAGGCTGATATTCGGAAATACTGATGAGCTATTGTTTTCAATGTCTGATAACGCAGCTGGTTATGTTTCCAAAGAAGGCGTCCTCATCGTTCAGTGTGGATCTTTGGGAGATCAGCACGGGCATATTGACAGTTGTATCTGTATGTCATATGGGATTTGTTCTGGTGGAGCCTGAGGGGAAGGCGGCGTCAGTGCAGATGGATGAGATGAGTCTTGGAGTGATGGCTTCTGAAAGGGCTGGTGGTGCGCAGGTTCACTCTGTCTCAGTTCGCCTTTGCAGATGACTGATATTCCCCACACCTAGACCATGGAGTCGCTGCTGCAGGTGGAGAGTATCGTATTCCAGGGAGGAGGTGTGTGGGAGAAGCTCCTGGGAGAAGGCAGGTCCGAGGGGCACAGGGCCTGTGGAGAAGGTGCAGCTGGAGGGGTGGGTGGAAAGTGGAGGGGCTGGAGGCAGGGGACCCTGGGGCAAAACCTGGAGGCTGTGACAGCATCCTGAAGGTCCTGAAGTGCTCGCTCAGGAAATACTGGCTATCCACCCCAGGCGCAGACAAAAACAAGAGAGCCGTGTATCTGTGACAATGAGGAGACAGGGCAGAGTGAACCCTGATTCTAAATACCCTGCTTCTCTAAACAGGCAGACACAACTGTTACCCTGGGATATGATTAGGGTTTGCCAAAGGCAAACAAAATATAAGCCTCTTCCTTTGCTATAAAATAACATTTATACAGCTGCCATTTTGTCTCTGAATAAATCTGCCGGCAAAGGCAATGTGGTTAGCATTTCCTTTCAAATCCGAGCTGCTGAGACATGGATGCTGGAGCCGACGGCGATGGTGCCGGTGGAAGCATTTGCCACTACGGCTCCTAGGAAGACTCACGGCGCTTGCTGGCCCCGCCCCATTAGCTGACTCGCTGTCAGCTCAGCCGCCAATGGCCCATTACTCCTGGAAGACGTCTGTCTCTAACCTGATGCGCGGCCCACAGTTGCCGCACTAGGCAAGCAGGAGTGATCTGGGATTTAGGACATGCATGCCAAGTACGTGCATGCATGTTTTGTTAACAGCGCTATCGGCTGACAGAAGTTACTCAGCGGCATCCTCAGCAGTAGTGTGTCCCTCCCAGAGGGCTTCCCCAGTAAACTCAATTCAAAGGCAGAGAAGGAAATCCACATAAAATAGATAATTCTGCAATATGCTAGCTCTAGGAATCTACCTTCTTTAATTTGCTTTTGCCTTTGGTAAATTCACTAAATCCACACCCCAGAGACACAGAGGCCTTTTACAGCTTAAAGAGGCTGTGGTCAGGTGCAGGGCGTGAACTCCCAAATGTCACGGGCCCATTTCCATGAGGCTGACCGTCAGCTTTCGCATGGAAACCGTGCACACCGGCTAGTCTATGTTTGTTGTGGTTGTTAAACCCTCCAGCCTTAGAGGCATTTAAAAAATGGCCCACTGTGCTTAGAGGGGTGGTTCCAAGGAGGAATTGGGATCTCCAGAGGCTCCCAGAGTGAGCCAGAGTCACGCATGACAGCTGCCCAGAGGCGTCTCACCATCCCTGCAGGCCTGCACACAAGGCCTTGTCGTGTGGTCAACCCTCAGGTCTACCGGCAAATGACGGATAAAGAAGATGCGGTACACACACACCGGACGCTACTCAGCCTGTGAAAGAAGGAAACCTGCCCTTCTCCACAACATGGATGAGCCGGGAGACACCGAGGAAAGAAAGCCGGATGAGCCTGGCGCACACAGGCAGAGGCCGCGTGGTCGCTCTCAAGGGTGGTATCTGAAACAGCTGAACTCACAGAGGCAGAGAGTAGAACCGTGGTCACCGGAGGGACTGGGGATGGGGAGGAATTGGGAGATGTTGGTGAAAGGACAAAATTCCAGCAAGGAGGGGCCAGCTCAAGAGACCGACTGGCCAGCAGGACAAGCACAGTTAGCCCTGCACTGCATACTTGGAAATCACCCAGAGTGGGCTTTACGTGTTCCCACCACGACAGATGGTGTACCTAAGGCAGTGGGTACGTGAGCAGCTCAGCGGAGCTGTCCCAGAGTGTGTAGTAGCTCAGAGCATCCCGTGGCACTCCCCACACTTATGCGGTTGTTACCTGTCAATTAGAAGGGGAATAATGACCACAGCACCTGCTGTTCCCGGAGTCTGCTTACCTGGAGGTAGTGGCACGGCCTCAGGGCGGGCTTGGCGTCCTGGTGCAGCAGCGGCTTGTCCAGGTTCAGCGAGCTCTTGCGGTAGGCCTCCTTGGCCTGGCTGACCGTCAGCGTGGACCAGGAGCTGCGCTTCAGGTACTTGGCGTCCGGCGTCAGCGCCAGCCCCTCGCAGGCTGAGCACTTGACGTCGTTGTTGCTCTTGGAGGTCTTGAGTGAGAGGTCCCCGAAGGGGCTCTGCAGGGCGTCGGGGTAGCCGTGGGCCGCGGGGCCCAGGTGGTGCCGGTTGAGCACGCTGGGCGGCCGGTAGGTGCTGTCGCTGTCCAGGTTGTCATCCGAGCTCCACCAGCTGCTCATGCCGGGCCGCGGCTTGCCCTCCGGCTTGCGCTCCTTGCTCTTGCTCCTCTTGCCGTGCTTGGCGTGGTGGCCGTGGTGCGGCTCGTCGGCGCGGCCGTCCGCCTTGGCCCCGTTGGCGTTGCCCTTGGAGGAGCCCTCCAGCGAGTGCGACTTGGTGAAGAGCTTCTGCACCGAGTGCACCAGGTGGCGGATGCGCCCCGGGCTCTCGCTGCGCTGCTCGGCCGCGGACGCGCGCTGGTACTGCAGCGTGTGGAAGCCGTCCCGGTGCAGCGGCAGCTGCTTCTCGAACTGGTCCAGCAGGTTGGCGGGGATGCGGTTGATCTTGGCGCCCACGCGCGGCGCCGCGCCGTCGTCGCGCGCGTCGTAGTGCGAGCTGTAGTGCATGCGCGGGAACGTGCTGCTGGACACGTGGTCACCCAGCGCCACCGGCATCAGGACGCACTCCGAGTGCACCGAGCTGCGCGGCGAGCAGCGGTGGCGCCCCCCGGGGCAGCTGTCCGCGGCGCTCAGCAGGTAGGGCGGCCGCGCCTCGGGCGCGTGGTGCAGGTGCTCGCAGTCCTCGGGGGGCGCCAGGCCGCACGTGTGCCCCGAGCACAGCGGCGGCTGCGTCCGGCTTCCGGAGAGGCCCTTCATGCTCCTGGGCGCCGGGGAGTAGCGCTCCTCATTGAAGTGCTGCGTGGGCGACCATGAGTACTGCGGGTCTGCGGGGAAACACAGAAACGTCACTCAGCACCCGGGAGCGGGAGCGCGGGCGGGGACCCCCGGTGCGAGCAGGTGGAATACGTGACCCCCACCGTGGACTGGGTTGTCAGGATGGTCAGGGTCCATTTCTGGCCTGGGTACTCGAGAGGGCAGTTTTGCTTGTTTTTCTGAGACCCAGTGTCGCTGTCGCCCAGGCTGGAGTGCAGTGGCATGATCTCAGCTCACTGCAACCGCTGCCTTCCGGGTTCAAGCGATTCTCTTGCCTCAGCCTCCCGAGTAGCTGAGATTACAGGTATGTGCCACCACACCTGGCTAATTTTGTATTTTTAGTAGAGACGGGGTTTTGCCATGTTGGTCAGGATGGTTTCAAACTCCTGACCTCAGGTGATCCGCCCCCGTCATCCTCCCAAAGTGCTGGGATTACAGGCACCCGCCACCACGCCCGACTAATTTTGGTTTTTTGTTTGTTTTTGTGAGACAGAGTCTCACCTTGTCACACAGGCTGGAGAGCAGTGACATAATCTCTGCTCACTGCAACCCCTGTCTCCCGAGTTCAAGCAATTCTCCTGCCTCAGCCTCCCGAGTGGCTGGGATTACAGGCACACACCACCATGCCCAGCTAATTTTGTATTTTTAATAGAGATGAAGTTTTGCCATATTGGTCAGGCTGGTTCGAACTCCTGACCTCAGGTGATCCACCGCCTAAGCCTCCCAAATTGCTGGGATTACAGGCGTGAGCCTCCGTGTCTGGCCGGGCAGTTGTTTTTATATCACAAAGTGTGAGGAGCAGAGAGGAAACTCTGAGTTCCCAAATGGTTAATGACCAAGAGTTAGCATCTAGTGGATCCAACAGGTCTCTTGACAGCCGGATTTTGTGCTATTAAAGGAAATTAACAATTTGAGGGGAAGGCATAGTTGTGTTTCACTTAGATTTCTGTTTTGTGGTACAGCTTAAGAAGTTTTAAAAACAGCATCTGGTACTTGATGGGTGATATTGTCTAGTAAGCTCACGCATCACACACACACACACACACACACACATATTAATTGTGAAATTGTTCAATCCACATCCTCACAGGCTAGTGAGCATGGGAGGGGCTTTCTCGAGGCCCCATCTTCGTGGGGGCAGCTGTGTCTCCTTCCCCAGAGGCCAGGCTCTGCCCCTTCCCACCCAACTCCTCCCCGTGCCCTTCTGCATCCTGGAGGACAGAGGCTATGGCTACAACACAGCATGGCCAGTCTTAAGGCCACTGAGCTGCTGAGGGGCAGATACCTTGCTCTTTCCTGTCCCTGGGAAGACAGCTGGGTGCCAAAGTGACCCGCAGAGAAGGAGGATCTGACAGCTCCTGGCCTGTTGCTCCCCGGCCTCTGCACCCACACCTTCCTCCTCCTGGCAGCGCCCCTCAACCCCACACCTGCCTCCATCTCAGTCCCCTCCTGCCCCAGACCCTCATGCTTGACACCAGAACCATCACAATGGCCTCCTCCTCTGACCCTCTTTCCCCCTACCTCCACCCATCAAATGCACCTGTGCCCATCCACTAACTTTCAGGTGAGTCTCCTTGGCCTGTTACTCAAGGCCATGTCTAGGACAGCGAGCTCTCTGCAGGCACAGCCACCTGGCTTGTGACAGCTGTGGGCCACCCCGGAGCAGTGCCAGCCCCCGACCAGACACCCGAGCTCTGTGATAACTGGAGGAGCCGACGAGCCTCCCTCTGCCCCATGGTCTGCACGTCCCTCTGGGTCTGCTGGGCCTTAACCGCACCCAGCTGCCATCATTTCTAGATGTCACTGCCCGGGTTCTGCCGGCCTCTGCTCCCAGGCCTGGACGCAGTCCCTGTATTGATTCCAAGACCCAGCTCCACACTGCTGGACTTTGCTGTGTGCTGTCCTCGAGGCCAAAGACCCGGACAGGAGTTAGAAGTGGCCTCTTTGAGGGGCTGAGCATGGCCATCTCCTCAGGAAGGAAACGATCCCCCACACATTTGTCCAACACCCCCCTGCCCTGGGCCACCTCCAAGCCTCGGATCCCACAACGATTTCCTGCCTGCCCACTCCCCCATCGCCATGAGCGTCTCTCCCCCTTGTTCCTCTCTCACCGTCACCCCGCGGCCTGAGATGCACCCCTACCTGCAGTCCTGTGGTGAGTCCGGCACACCCTGCCCTCGGAGAGCCACCTGCTCTGACTCCCAGAGCAACACGGACACCAAGGAAAGCAAGCAGAGAGATGGGGAGTGAGACTTTTCCCATCGTGTCCAACACAGCCCTCCAGGTAACCAAGGCAAGAAAAAAAAACATACCCGGCTGAGAACGTTTACCAAGTGACTAGTCCTAGGTATGGCCTCACAACATCCCCAGTTTCAATTTCAGGATCCAGGGCTGCCAGCCGTCCAGGCCAGCATGGCTATGAAAACATGGGATAAGGAAAGGATGTGATTTCATGGGTCCCTGGGAAATCAGGGACCAGCTTCTCACACCCAGGAGTGAATGCAGAAGAAGGGAATGGAAAGATTTCCCAAGGGGTCCCCAGAGACTGACAGCAAGGTGTGGGGCTGTTTCTCCCACGGAGGGCAGCAGAGGGGTCTCTCCTGCGTCTTCTCACAGTAAACAGCCTCCAATTCAAGAATAAACAGATCCTTTAACTTCAAAGCGAGGCTCGCTGTGTTATATTCAGGTGCCTACGCCGTCTCGCAGCAGCGCCTACGCGGAAAGGGCCAGTGGCGTCTTCCTTTCTCAAATTGTTAAATTATAACGAAAGCACTTTAATATATTGGGGTAATATTTAGGTATTATTTTAATATCATTAAAAGCAAGTTTTCAAATGAAATTCAATATTCAACTGCTAAATTGCAAAACGATGTGCTGTAATCCAGACTTTATAGCAGCATGTCATCCTGTTGTCTTTTGCTTTGTTTTCCCATTAACATGTAATTTAATACAATTCTAATCTCCCTTCATATTAAAAAGCGAGCCCATTAATGCCCCACTCACGTATCTATTTCTGTCCAATGTTTAGCCTAGAAGCTATGTTATGAATGTGGCTCCTTAAAAGAACAGCATAAAAGATAAAATTTAACCGAAATGAATTAAATTTGACTATGCCACATGTTGATAGCACATTCTCATTTCCACTGTACAGGACTGAATTTCCTGATGGATGCATGGAAACATACATTAAAATATTATCACAATAACGACAATAGCAAGGCGCTGTAAACAATGGCAACACTAGAAAGTGTAATGAGCACCGCACTAGGTTTTTGGTTTTTTTAGGTCTGCACAATGTATAATAAATACTTAGGGCTGGTAAATTCTTTTTATGAAAATGAGGTAGCAAACACAAAATGCAGAAAGCATCTTGGTTTCCTAACTTCCAGCTTTTCACGACACCATTTTTGTCATTAAGCAAGAGAAAACAGCAATTATAGTCATTATTCATGAATGTAAAACTGTCTCCCCAAATTCAGAATAGAATGTAAATGCACATCTTACTGTTGCATTTATGGGACGTCTGGCCTACTCCTTCTAAAAAGCATATTGTTAGTGTAGGAATAAAAATGTGAAGAATACAGCTAATGTTTACAGGGTACACATTGTGCTTGTGAGGTTCTTCCCGGGAGGTTCCCTCCAACCCTCCGGCAGCCTTCACGGAGGAGCATCTTACCCTGTTTCAGGCTAAGGAAACTGAGGGTGGATGGGCAGCATTCTCACGTCTCACACTTGGTCACTGAAGGATGGGAAGGCAGTGTTTGGAGCCCTACCTTCCTGGGCAAACCCAGCGAGTAGCTCCAAACTGGGCAGTGACCTGAGCCAGCCAGCTGCCTGCACACCTCAGTGATGATCCCAGCCCAGAGCTTTGGGGAAAGCGTATGGCTCACTCAGGGCAGCCACTAGTGTGAGAGGAGAGAGGAGGAGGCCATGCACAGGGGTCCTCCCCACCCTTCCCCTGCCTGCAGGCAATGGGGACCCCTTCCCCACCAGGAACACCAGTTCCTCCTCCCTGTCTGAAGCTCCTCAGATCCAGCCTTATCTGCCTGCATTTTCTTCAGCTTAGGAAAGGGAGGGGGAGACCCTCAGTATATATCTCTGCTGCCCTCCACCGTAGAAAGAATTGCCCTGCTGGAAGTGGAAGCCTGATGAACTTAAAGCCAAAACCAAACAAACCAAGAAAAAAACAGAACAATAAACGCTTTATAAAGTGGCCCATGGAGTGAGTCACTAAATAAAAACTGACATACTCTACCATAGCGTATTTTTCCTGAAGTAGTCAAACGTAAGCAACATTTCCTCAGAAACTGTAACTTGTTGAAAATGGTGAGACAGCCTTGGTGGTACTGGATTCATGCTGACTTTCTTGGCCATCCTGGTCTTTCCCTCTGCTCTGCCATCCCTTCCTCAGTCCCCCATGTGACACATGGTCATCCTGATTCTCTTAAAGCCCCCCAGACCCTGAGCCCCTGGAGCCAACCCTGCCATTGGTCAAAACATTGGTCAAACACAAGCGCAAACATAGGCCAGGGATCATAGTAAAAAACAGACACTGAACCTGTTCCTGTATTTACTGTATGATGGTATGAAAGGCATGGTCCATCATACATCATAAGGAATCTATCTGAAGCCCCATTAAAAAAAATCCTTTTAAATTTTAACAAAAAGTATGAGATTTGAATGCTGACACCTGTAAAGCATTGTTGACCAGAAATTGTAACAATCTAGATAAATGGAAAGACATCCCATATTCATGGATTGGAAGGCTTAATATGGTTAAGACAGAAAAAAAAATCCCCAATTAATCTACAGATTGTATACAATCCCTATCAAATCCCAGTTGTTTACTCTTTAGAAACTCAAAAGCTGATCTAAAAATTCATATAAACAGAAAAGCAAAACTATACCCAAAGCTAGCAGATGGAAAGAAATAAGATCAGCACAGAGATAAACAAAGAAACAATAGAGAATCAATGAAGCCAAAATTTTGTTTTTAAAAAATATCAACAAA